GAAACCGGAAGGGAATCCGAGTCCTAAGACCCCATGCTTTCGTGTCGTGGAAGCCTGCATGGGAGCAGTATTGATGTTGGCAACTACACCTGCCTCTGAACTGCCATTGGGAAGCCGTAAAGTCGTCTGATCCCTGCCCGAATCGAATTTTCGTTTTGCCGTTTTCTTACTCTTTTTCACGTCCGCAGGCTGCTTGTGCTTCTTCACTGGTGGCCTAGACAGTGTAGTGTCCTTCTCCATGGTCTTCCCGTTGGACCAATTAGCTAATCGAGCTACTGAACGCATGGATCGCATAGCGCGTATGGCAATGGAACCGGTCGTTGTGTTGGGGGGTGCAAGAAGGGGCTTGTGTATGTCCTCTGATATAGGACAGGACACGGTTGGGATATGGGAAGCATCTTTGAGAAGGTCAGAGTCCTGGAGAGGAGACTCTGACGCCGAAGCCGACCGAACCTGAGCTGGACGCTCTGCAAATTTGGAGGCGGTATTGAGTACGACGTTTGAATCTAGAGAATTGAAGCGTGCTCGGGATGCAGAAGTTTCTGAGGGAGCTCCAAGAGCTGGACAAATTGGAAGGTAAACGCCCCAGCTTGCAAGAATGATGTGGTCACATACGATTCGTTCGCGGGTTCTCCTTCTCAACCATCTTCAAATCTTTGGAGTCCTTTCGCCCTCGGCTAATGCTCCACCACCTCTCCTTGTCTTCATTTTTCAGTTTCCCTGCCTGGGTCGGGCCTTTGGAAGGAACGGAGTTTGTCACTTCGGCCAAGGTCCCCCACTTCAACCCACTTAAAGCGGCACGGCTCTTTTTCTTCTTGACCATGAGCACCTCGCCAACTTCGGATTGAGCAGTGGGGTCCACATAGATCTCGAAGCCGCTTTTGGCGACTGAAGCTGTGCCGGCACTCACCCCTACACGGCGTACAACATCAGAAAGATCATTATTCTCAGGCGTCTTGCTGCGTTTCCCGCCGACGAGAAGCCCTAGTTTTGATTTCTTCGGAACAAGACGCCTCCTAGGGACTTGAGAGTCTTCCTTCGGGGTAAGGGGCGTCGGAGAGACGGTCACAGAAGGAGAGGAGACAGAGGTATCGATAAAAGGGTTTCCTAAACCCGGTGCAGCACCTGTGGCGGTGGGAGCCGCAGAAATCAGGCGGATTGTAGGTATAAAGTCAGGTTGAGATGGTGCTGGAAGTTGTGGGGACAGTGTTCGCAGTCGACCTTGTGATTGTGCGCGAGATCGTAAGGGCATAGTGCTCTGCAAGTCTCTGGATATTGATGCTAGGGGGTGATTGTGTAGAAACGTGATTGAGTGAGGCGTGACGATTCGTTAGTAACACAGATGAGGGATGTTAGCGTGAGATTTAAGCGCTGCTGTCTCTGTGAGGGAGCAATAATAAAATGTGGTCGCAGTTAAGAGTGAGTGAGATGCAAGAGAAATGCGTCAGTGAATGCGGGGAGCCTAAATAATGCTAATCGAGGAGCATGATCAGGCCAACTTGTTCATCAGCAGACTGCTGGAGGACAAAGCTGCGCTAGGCAGAGGGGAGCAGACCAAAATGAAGAGAGAGGAACGAGAAGAGGATGTTCTTCGCTCGACTTCGAAAGTCCAACTTTGCAACTTGCATCTTACTCGATTTGGACATTTCTAAATACGCGTCAAATACGCGCATACAACACGCTCATCACGTGATCGAGACAAGACGGTCAACTGACTCATCATTCGGAATTCGGAAACAGAGCGGCCAGTTATTCAAAGTCCGGATATGCTAAGAATAGCCCAAGATCCGACGATACTTGTACCATACAGTGCATCATGCGGCATTCGGGTTCCTTCGGACGACGGAGGGTCATCCGCCAGGATTCGGAGGTGAGTGGGTGCCTTGGTAAACCGAAACTGAAGGGTCCCAACTAAGATGGCCGTAATGATGCGCGCTCACACTGCGCTCACCTGTCGTAGTGGCGCAGTCATATACAACAGGCCCACATATAAGGCCAGTTGGCCCTGACCTGACCCACATCAATTCGAAATCGCTTTGCTTTCGGCCATCCTGAAGACCCGCTGTGTGATTCCTCTCAGACGTCAATGTCCATCCCGTGAGTATAGCAAGCACCACCCGTCACATCCTCCTAATCCATCCACACACTAGATTTCCGTAAGTTATGACCCTGCAGTCTCCGCCATTGCTGTACATCTGTTGTTACCCCTTCGCTTTCCGAAGGCAACCTCACTTATCGGCTGCACCAACTTCGGTTCAGTCTGCAGCATCGTACGTATATTTCAGAATAGAACTCTATCATCATCAGAATGTAGACGCATGTGTATTACAGGATCCGCAGTAATCGTCTTTCACCGAGCCCCATCCCCAAGTGCGTTTGCTTCCTGTCGGTATAAGGGACGAACGCTCTGACGTTCCTCTAATGTCCCTCACTCATGGACATCGTCCCCGTTCATTTGTACTCTAGTAGTCACCACGAGAGCCACCACCACCACAGTCACCACCGTTCTCGTTCCAGTTCGCTAGTGCCGAGCCCGACTCCGTGTGTCTCGAGTTCATTCTTTGACTTAATCTGATTTAATATGTTTTGATTTGAATCATAGGTCGCAGACTTATCTACCGTCCCCTAGTCTCGCACCAATGTACGTTGACATCCGACAGACATACTGTAATAGTCGCTCTTGATAAGTTAATATTCGGTCTTTAGGGAGCAGAGCCATCATTATCGTCCACGTGTACATTCTCACTCCAGCGACCATTACCACCACCACCATCATCATCATCGCTCGCGCTCCCATTCTCATAGCGGCTCGCACAGTGGACATGGTAGCGGTAGTGTGAGTCCAGCCCCTCCTTTGATCATATCGCGTGTGTATCCTTCATCTATTTTCATTTGCACCTGGGTCTTACACGAGCGCAGAGAATTCGGAGCCAGTGGGGCCTTACGCGTCCGTACCATCATACCAGCCATCATACGCAGCGCAGCCTACCTATGGGCCCACACTTACCACTGCGGCCGCTCCTGTGCATATGCGAGCACCGTCACCTGTGCCAAGTGGAGTGCCGCACGGCATCTCTTCGCCACAATATCCCCCCTCCATTGGCGCTCCATTTGAACCACCCGTACAAACCCGCGCGCTCCGTCCTGTATCACGCAACCCGCGCTCGCTCGCGCGCCAGCCGCTTGTATCACAAGAAGTAGATGCGCCAGACCCGACGCGTCGTGATTTGCGTTGCCACCCGCTTTTCCGACACTCGCGGTGCACGGGCAGACGAAAGGCCCTTTGCGTACGCGTCTCCGCCCGAGCCCATTTGATCGACGCTGAACGAGGATACAGATAGGGATCAACTATGTCGGACAAAGCAATCCACTCCATGGATGCGTGGATGACGCACGGAACGTATATCAATTTCTCATGGGTTCGTTTAGATGTCTGTCAAACGAAATGTGTAGCTGACCTCATCGAGAAACAGAAAATCACCGCTATCCCCATTCTAACATCATCGTGCTCACTGATGACAACCGGAACCCTCGTTCACAGCCCACGCAAAAGAATATCCTGAATGCGATGCGGTGGCTTGTGGAGGGCGCCCATGCAGACGATGCTTTATTCGTTCATTGTAAGTGGACTGGAGCACCGAAATATGCCGGCCTTCGATGTTGACCTTGGTGTAGATTCAGGGCATGGTGGAAGGACGCGTGACATGGATGGAGATGAGCTGGATGGATGGGATGAAGGTGGAGCAGTTTATATTTACATCTCACCCCTTTTGACTGAAAGGACATGACAGTCATCTTCCCAGTTGACTACAAGACAGCAGGAATCATTACCGACGATGTGATTATTTTCTGTCACCTACTTCCTGTGTCTTGTACCAGTGACTGACGCCACTACTTTCTAGGTATTGCATGATGCCCTGGTACGTGTAAATCTGGCCTAGATCATCCGATCCCTAACACTTACACTGTCAGGTAAAACCCCTTCCGTCGGGTTGCCGACTAACCGTATGTCATCTTCACGTCACAACTTCTCTCGTTAACCCATACATATAGGCCGTATTTGATGTAAGCGGTGACACTCTTTGCGTGAGCGTTAGCAGTACTTATTCAGTGTATAGTCCTGCCATTCTGGTTCAATCCTAGGTACGCGTTGCCTCTCTTAGCAGCAATGTGACTGACAACGAGAAGATCTTAATTATGAGGTACTGTGTACGACACTGTGCGCCGATTACGCATTGTTGAGCTGGATATAGTTTCACTCTAATGGACGAGTGAAGTCGAGTCCAGTGGCCCGCGCGTTCCAACAAGCGAAGTCCACGCCAGCCGATGTGGTATGCCTAGAAATGGGTTTGCTAAGATGGCAGGAATTTGAACAGAAACTTTTAGGTTTGTTTTAGTGGCTGTAAGGATGATCAGACGAGCGCAGACACTGTCCAAGGAGGAGTCGCCGTAGGTGCTATGAGCTATGTGAGTGACCGTCGAGGTCGTCAGGTCAAACGCTATTGACTCGACGTTATAGGCATATCTAAAGATATTGAGTGCGTAGCCCAGTTCTTGATCTCATTTTATATGATTGACTCGTGTCCAGAGCGAAATCCTCAAATAACCTACATTGATCTACTGCGTGGAGTGCGGTGTGTATCGACGTCTTTGGAACCGCCTCGCATCCATGCTCACCCTAGTGGGTTCGCATAGCGATATCCTCAAGAAGAAGTACAGTCAAAAGCCGCAACTATCAGCTTCGCACGAAGTTGTGAGTAGCTGACCGATTTTCTATCACATAACTTACCATCCATCTCCCCTCAGGATATCAATTTACGCTTCGTCATGTAACATCATGTAACCAGACAAGGATAGAGTTATACGAGAGAAACTGTTCTGATTTTTCGATTACAGGACAGTAGTTTGTGATGACTTTTTGTACTGCCGCAGTCGAGGTTGACTTAATTATCGTATAACTCTTGAAGTGTAAAATATTTAAAATTTACTGTAATAGTTACCTCCCTGGCGGGGAGTCGAACCCCGCTCTCGCGCGGTCGGATAAATGACAGGCGCGTGTACTAATCCGATATACTACCAGGGAGTAGAAATTCAATCAAACTTACATAATATGAGGTCCGCGGGTTTTATGACGAGATTCTTCTGAAGATTAGAGAGTGTCAAACATGTCTTTTGAGCTCCCCATCGGCAACTGCTAGTTGGTGAACAGAGTGTGATCTCACGCACGATGAATTCTCTGGTGTAGAGACAAGTAACTTCGCCACGTGAGGCACGCGTTCCGAGTCGTCGCGTTTCTCGCGTTTCCTTTCACCATCGCGAACTTCTTACTTCCTCCTGTCCTAAGGTTCGAGCCTGGTCACGGCTCTCAATGGACTCAAACCTTCGCTACCCCAAAGTCCATGGTGCTGGACAATTTCCCTACGCTTTCGATGCGCCTCCACTAATTACGCCTTTCACTAAAGGATATCGGCTCATCCAGCAAGTCGGGGGCGGTGGCTTCTCCACGTGCGTTCGTTTGTAAAAGGCAAAAAAAGGGGGGAAGGCGGATGATATTCTATTCGTAGGGTATTTCAAGCCGTTAATACCCAGGACCATCGCGTCGCGGCCTGCAAAGTGGTGGCATTGACGACAAAGACCAGTCAAGCTCAGCGCAAGTCAATGGACAAAGAGATGCGGGTCCACGCCGCCCTCAAGCATAGAAGTATTCTTGAGTTCCTGACCGCGGCCGTCGTAGAGCCAGGCACAGAGTCGCCGTTCATTCCGGCGATTTACATGCTCCTCGAGTTTGCGGCTGGTGGGGACCTCTTTGACAAAATCGGTGTGCTCACATTTGACCTACAACTGGAGAATACCGGTTGACCAAATCGCTAAAGCTCCTGATGTTGGAGTTGGCGAAGACGTAGCGCACTTCTATTTCCTCCAACTACTTTCAGGCTTGGTAACGTTCAACAGCTACTCTCACTGCCCAGTGATTACTAACTTCGTGCCGAAAACGCCGCTCAGACTTACATTCATGTGGAAGGCGTGTGTCACCGCGACCTCAAGCCCGAAAACATTCTCCTAGATGCCGCAGGGACACTCAAGATATCAGATTTTGGCCTTTGCTCGGTATACAAGCTTAAGGAATCAGGCCGGACACGAATGCTCACTGAAAGATGTGGCAGTCTACCATACGTCGCACCAGAAGTGTGTTCCTGCACCCGTTTTGTCATATGCTAAACCCTGATTTAAGAGTACAGCTTAACACAGACAAACCTTATGCTGCAGAGCCTATCGATGTTTGGGGAGTCGGTGTCATTCTCTTTACTATGGTTGCTGGGAGTGCGTGAGACCTTCCGCTGCAAAAGCGGAGTGATATCTAAATTAACCTCGAAGATACACCCTGGGATGAGCCAACCGCACGCAGCTACGAGTTCAGCCGTTATATTTCAGGCTCATTCATCGATGACGCTCCATGGAACCGAATGCCTGCATCTGTTTTCTGTTCGTCGTTCATCGCGATGCTTTTCCCTGGCTCGCTCACGTGCCCTTGAGTAGCTTTGATCACCGGCTTACTCACCGTCAATCCACAGGATCGCATGACGCTTGCGGATGCATTTCAACACCCATGGGTGCTCACGTATGTTCTGCGATGGGCTGCCAGACGTCATTTTCATTTTTATCCTTTGTTCACAGACAGAGCCAACTAGCTTCGCAAGGGCCTGTGGCCCTAGCGGAGAAACTTACACAGTCTCTCCGCAATACAGGTGATCTCGACTTTGTTGAGATCGATTTGCAGTCGTACGTCGTCACGTCCGCAAACGTTGCGAGAGACTTCCCGAATTCAAACCGCACAGAGAATCACCTACGCCTCGGGACGATGACCAAATCATGCTTTCGGCGACGCGGGGCTCTCAATTTACTCAATCGCTTATGCTCTTTGTTCGTCTATCCCTCTTGAGAACATTCCACAATCGTTCCCTCTCACAACGCCGTAGTCGCAGACTCAGGGTGGCACGCGCTACACGCCGCACCTGACGCGTTTCTGGGCGTCCATAGCCCCACAAGAGCTGTTGGTCGCTATCGAAAATGCGCTCCAGGTACAGAACGTCCGCGCCGTGCGAGCAGCCAATGGGCCCAATGGCGAACTTCGTTGCCGTATTGGCGGATCGGACCGCCGTCGTGTATCATATAAGGGTTGGGTGATCGTCGAACCTTTTGGCACGACGGATGGGAGTGTGAGAAGCTTCTGCATCATGCAACGTGACGAGGTAAAAAGTCACCTCTATTTACGCGTCGTGCTGACGTTTTGGCGACGTGAAACGCGTAGGGCGATCCCATATCGTGGCGAAGGATGTTCAAGGCTACCGTGCAATCACAGCAACTCGCACAATACGTCCTCCGCCGGAGGGTAGGAGGAGCGTAAGCGAGTCTACTTCATATATTATGATATTATCGATTTATCCGACCGTGCGAGCGAGAGCGGGCTCGACTCCCGCCAGGGAGGTGTCTATTAACTTTTACACACTTTACAATTCCTCACGCCTTAGCAGTTATTGCTTTACTGTAACATCGGAGAGTAGATGATAATCAGGTCAACTCGATTACGAGAGCCCGAGAGTCCACTAAAAGACAAACAACAAATTCATCAAAAGGCAAATCGACAGCTTTCTGGTATACCCTATCCTTGTCCGGTTACATGATGAAGCGTAAATTGACATCCTGGGGAGATGGACGGTAAGTTATGTGATAGAAAACCGGTCAGTTACTCACAATTTCGTGTGAAGCTGAAAGTTGTGGCTTTTGACTCTCCTCCTTGAGGATCTCGCTATGCAAACCCACTAGGGTGAGCACGGATGCGGGACGGTCCCAAAGACATTGATACCCACCGCACTCCACGCAGCAGATCAATGTAGGTTATTTGAGGATTTTGCTCTGGACACGAATCAACCATATAAAATAGGATCAAGAATGGGGGTACGCACTCAATACCTTTAGATATGCCTATAGCATCGAGTCAATAGCGTTTGACCGGACGAACTGGACGGCCACGTACATAGCTCATAACACCTACGGCGACTCCTCCTTGGACAGTGTTTACGCTCAACTGACCATCCTCACAAGCACTAAAACAAACCTAAAGGCTTCTCTTTAAAACCTCCCGCCTTCCTGGCAAACGTAAAGCTTACCACATCAGCAGGGGTGGACTTCGCTTGTTGGAACGCGGCGGCCACTGGGCTCGACTTCACTCGTCCATTAGAGTGAAACTATATCCAGCTCAACAATGCGTAATCGGCGCACAGTGTCGTACACAGTACCTCATAATTAAGATCTTCTCGTTGTCAGTCACATTGCTGCTAAGAGAGGCAACGCGTACCTAGGATTGAACCAGAATGGCAGGACTATACACTGAATAAGTACTGCTAACGCTCACGCAAAGAGTGTCACCGCTTACATCAAATACGGCCTATATGTATGGGTTAACGAGAGAAGTTGTGACGTGAAGATGACATACGGTTAGTCGGCAACCCGACGGAAGGGGTTTTACCTGACAGTGTAAGTGTTAGGGATCGGATGATCTAGGCCAGATTTACACGTACCAGGGCATCATGCAGTACCTAGAAAGTAGTGGCGTCAGTCACTGGTACAAGACACAGGACGTAGGTGACAGAAAATAATCACATCGTCGTAAATGAGTCCTGTTGTCTCGTAGTCGACCGGGTAGATGACTGCCATGTCCTTTCAGTCAAAAAGGGTCAGGTGTCAAACTAAACTGCTCCACCTTCATCCAATCGACTCAGCTCATCACCATCATCGTCATACTTCCTTCCACCGTGTCCTGAATCTATAGCAAAGTCAACATCGAATGCCAGCATCTTTCGGTGCTCTAATCACGATTCACTCACAATGAATGAATAAAGCATCGTCAGCATGAGCACCCTCCACAAGCCACCGCATCGCGTTCAGGATATTCTCCTGCGTGGGCTGTGAAGAAGGGTTCGAATTGTCATCCGTAAGCACGATAATGTTAGAATGGGGATAGTGATGATTTTCTGTTCCTCGATGAGGTCAGCTACACGTTCCATCAGACAGATATCAAAACAAACCCGTGAGAAATTGATGTACGTTCCGTGCGTCATTCACGCATCCATCGAGTGGATAGCTTTGTCCAACATAGTCGATCCCTATCTGTATCCTCATTCAGCGTCGATCAAATGGGCTAAGGCAGAGATGCGTACGCAAAGGGCCTTTCGTTTGCCCGTGCACAGAGAGTGTCGGAAAAGCGGGTGGCAGCGCCAATCACGACGTGTCGGGTCTGGCGCATCTACTTCTTGTGGTTCGAATGGAGCGCCAATGGTGGGAGGACATTGCACCGGAGAGATGCTGTACGGCACTCCACTTGGCACAGGTGATGGTTCTCGCATAGGCACAGGAGCGGCCGCAGGAGTAAGTGTGGGCTCATCGGTAGGCTGCGCCGCGTATGATGGCTGGTATGATGGTACGGACACGTAAGGCCCCACTGGCTCCGAATTCTCTGCGCTCGTGTAAGACCAGGTGTAAATGAAAATATATGAAGGATACACACGTGATATAGGCAAAGGAGGGGCGGCAGTCACGTTACCGCTACCATGTCTACTATGCGAGCGATGATGGTGGTGGTCGCGATCGTCGCTGGAGTGAGAATGTACACGCGGACGATAATGATAGTCCTGTTCCCTAAAGACAGAATATTGGCTTATCAAGAGCGACTATTACAGTATGTCTGTTGGATGTCAACGTACATTGGTGCGAGACTAGAGGGGGGCGGGGGTAGATAGGCCTGCGACCTATAATTCGATTCAAGATCAAAGAATGAACTAGGAACACACGGTGTCGGGCTTGGCACTAGCGAACTGGAATGAGAACGGTGGTGACTGTGATGATCGTGTCTCCCGTGGTGGCTACTAGAGTGCAAATGCGAGCGAGGACGATGTCCGTGAGTGAGGGACTCGGAGGGACTTAAGAGGAACATCAGAGCGCTCGTCCCTTATACCGACAGGAAGCAAACGCACCCGGGGATGGGGCCCAGTGGAAGACGATTCCTCCGGATCCTGTAATACACAT